TTAGATATTCTTAATATTTTATATGCAAATATAATAAAAACATCCATAACCCACAAGCTAGAAATAACTGCCCTTGGAATTTTGGTGAATGTATGTCTATTCTACTCTTATTCATTCAAGAATATACATGACAAGGGGAGAGCACATACAGGAGGTACAGGGGTAGGTAGAAAACCCAAAACATGAAAGCGTTTGATGTCCCCACTCCAGAGGAACTAATACAGAAACCTTAAAGCAACAGAGGTCACACGAGAAGGGGATCAGGAACCAGTGTAAAGATCAGTTAGAGATGAATCAACCTAGGTTGTAACACATTTGTACATGAAAGCAATGCTAGGAATCTCTCTGTATATCTATCCTTATCTCAACTAGCAAAAACACTTTGTCTTTCTTATTATTGCTATGTCTTCTCTTCAAGAAAATTAGAGATAAGGGCAGAACAGGTTCTACCTGGAAGCGAGGGGGGTTTTGGGGGAGAGGGTAGGGATGAGGCGGGGCAGAGGGGAGAAATGACTCAAACAATGTACGCACATGTGAATAAATGAATAATAATAAAAAAGAATGTCTTTAATTTCTGCCATGTAGTTCTGCATATGTATACTTATTAAAACAGGAACCTATGAAATTGACAGTTTTGCGACTTGAAGTTTTTCAGTTACGTTGTAAACTTGTTCCTTGTTAAATATTCTCTGATGAGATTTTTGTTAGGAATGACATCTTTTATCCTAGAACAGATTTTTATGATTGTTTACATTGCTTCCAATTTTCTGCTTTATAAACAGTGCTTCTGTGCACATTCATACAGATATGTCTTCTTGTACATCCATAATTATATCCCCAGAGTAAATAAAAATAGTTCTTTTTAACTTAATATTATAGAGGAATTAGAAAATCTTTTACACTGCCATGGTAGGATGACTTACACCTCTTTAATGTATACTCAATAACAACAGCATTCTAGTTTTTTCATTAATTCACAAAATGCTTAAGTGGATTTTATACAAAACTTTCCACTATTTTTTCTTCCTTCCTTTCTTCCTTCCTTTCTGGAACTGGGGTCTGAATTCAGGCCCTCATACTTTACTTGCTAGGCACGCACTCTACCACTTCTACCATGCTCCCTCCCCCTTTTGCTTAGTTATTTTTTTGACATGGGTCTCATTAGGCTTAACCTAAATCAGGCTTTCCTCCTTTGAGTAGCTGGGATTACAGGCATGCACATTGGTACCACCACAACTGGCCTACCTTCCGCCATTTTGATTTGTTTATGTGAGTATGTGTGTGGAAAAGAAAGACAGAGACATTAAAAGAATGAGATTTTTTTTTTAATTGTTGGAAATATAAAGGCTGATTTTCCTTTCTTTTCAAATAAGACCAGTACTGGGAAAAAACTGGGAATCCCAAGTGATTTTGTGCATTAATTCTGCAACTTTCATAACATAGAAACAAAACAAAACAAGGCAGTAGAAAGCAAGAAAAACCTTTGTAGATGCAACATGGATGGCTCTATCAAGCAAGCATCACTTTTGTTACACGCTTTTCTGAGCCTAAGCTATGTGGAACTGGTAACTTCATTGTTTGGATACAAGGAGACCAAACTTCTAGCTCTGCCTGTTTTGCCTTTGACTCTTCTGTCTTTTCATGCCCTGGATTCTTTTTGCTGGAGACCACCAGGAACACATCTGTACTTGATCTATTTGGATTTTACATTTGCTGCAATGAAGAGAACAAACACCATGGAGAACCACGGGGTGTCTCAGTAAAAGACTGAGAGTATTAGAAAAGATTATAGCATCTAGGCTGGTGTTAATGTGGTTGAAAGGAGGGTTCAAGGAAAGAAGTCTTCACTATGGCTTGTTCACTGTCAAAATGTTGCAGATGGCTGTCTGGGGATTCTTTTGCTCTATCTGGATAGAAATTACAGATAGAAAAGTTGATGTTGAGTGCCCTGAGTTCCAGAGACTCACAAGCTAGACTTCTAAATTCACAGATTTATTTCTTTAAGCCTTGAGATCTAGAGACTTTCAAAGCTGGAGGCTCTTAGAGCTAGACACTCCAGGCAGAGGCTTATTGAAGCTCCCACACTAACTCCAACAGAGAGGCAAGCATCTTCTTGCATAGCTAGAAAAGGAGCATGACTTTTCTGCTCAGATTGTAATTCTACCAATCACAATATAGTTTTCAGTTCCACCAATCACAGGCTTCACCTAAGGACCAATCACAGGTCTCACATAAGCCTGCTTCTTTTTTGTCAATCACAAGGTTTTTGCTGAGTCAACTGAGGAAGTGCTCTTCCTTTGTCTGACTTAATTGAGGACTGCTATTACAGGGTCAGAGAAGTCAGAGACTGACCCCTCTGAAGAAATTGCAGGTGAGATCGTCTGGGGGTCATGGAGGCTTTTCATTGCTGAAGTGAATGTGTTTTGGCTATGGGCCCTGTGGCTGACAATTTCAGTGTTTTTGCAACCGGAGTGTACTTTTCCTCAAGTGTTCAAAGCACCTGTGTTGCTTTAAATGACAGTCCAGCCAGTTGCCAGAAGTGGTATAACCAGGATATCAAACCCAAAACCCCACTTCCAGGGATCCCATCTCAAGTCTGTCCACTTGCCCCAATCCCCCAGATAAAGAGATGAGTTGTGATGAAGAGCAGAGAAAGATTTGTTACAGGGCATGGGCATACTGCAGGAAGAGGCAAAGTAAGCATTTCAGATCATCTTCTGGGGTGCAGACCTGAGCTTCAGGCTTAAATAGAGGAAGAATTGGGGCTGGAGGTGGTAGGTATGCTTAATTAAACAATCCCAGGCAAAGTGTGGCCTGATTGATCAGTTCTGGTTCGTCTAGGGATTCCAGAAAAGTTGTCATTGAAGCAATCTGGTTCCCATGAGATGAGTCTTCCTGCTCAGCCTCTCACCATAGGTAATTGTCCTCATCTGGAGTGTGACCTGCCCTGTGAGGTGCTGCTGTTCCTTTCCATAGGGATAGTTTCAGTCACTCCTCTGAAGATGTTATTGGTCAGTCCTGTCCTTCCTGGAACTCAAGGTGATTGCAGAGATGAAAGACTCAGTAAGAGACAGATATAAAATGGAGGCAGAGATGCCAAGTTATTCTCTTGCTTTTAGTTCCACTTTGGTTAATTGCAGGCCAGTATGAGGAGTCAGTACTTTTTAGCAAAAGCTGTTTCTAAGTACTTGTTACAAAGGAGTTGCTCAGTTGACAGCTCCCCACTCAAGGCAGCCTGGTATAAGGAAAGGATCTGTTAGTTATGTTAGTTGTCATTCAAGGAGCCAAATGCCTGTTCCAGTTTGCTCATTCACAAGAAAAGTAAACCTTGAAGGGCACTTAAAGTAAAGACATTATCAACATTAACATTCCTAACAGTATTTAATAGTACTTACCTCTGAGGTAAGTAAGTACCTCAGTAAGAAATAGGTCCTTCTGATCTGTCTCAGGAGCAGGAGTAATTTTATAAATTTACATAATAATAGAATATTAGCAACTCTACTTAGAAGGAAGGTCAACTGTTCTGGTTTGCATAGGACCAAAGGGATTACTAGAACATGGTATTTTTATTGCCTTAGCCATGAAACTCCCAGGCAAGCTGGGAGGAATGGCTCACCCTACCTAGAAGTAGAAGTAAAAAGAAGCTTATATTGGAATTGATAAAGTAATAACAGTCATTCATACCAGCCAGGGTTTGCAATGATTGGTCAATTTTGTGGGGCAGGTAACTCTCATGTTTTTGTGAGGTGGTCTTGTCTCTGTCTTTATGGCGAGAGAGTGGTCTTGTCTGATGGTGTTCTCTGAAGGTATTAACATTCAGCAGGAGAACAGTGTGTCTGCCTGTGAGTGCAAGGCCAGCTCCTGCAAAACCAAGGTCTTCTTACTGACTCAGGCTACCTTATAGCTGTCTTGAGCTGCCTTTTCTTTTACAGTTCCATTTTTTGGGAGTTTGAGGGATATTTTTGAGTGCATATAAGAAATTAAAGGTGTAACCTTGTCATTTTGAAAGTTTTTTTTTTCGTAAAGGGGTACTGGGATTTGAGCTGTAAGGGCCTTGCTCTTACTAAACAGGAGGCTCTATCACTTAGACACACCCCCCCAGCCCTTTTTTGTTCTAGTGATTTTTTCAGATAGAGTGTCACATTTTTGTCTGAGACTGGCCTGGGACTGAAATCCTCCTTACTATGGAGTGCCTCCCACGTAGGTGGGATTATAAGAATGTATCACCATCTGCAGGCCTCCTTCTAACTCTTAATTTCAGCCACATTGATTCTGTGCCCTAATGAAACACTTTGGGCTTTGAGACATAGAGTAATACAAAATGTTCACTACTTACTGCATTTTTTTCAGTTCAGAACAGTGCTTTAATGACTGAATGCTAAACTACCAAATGTTAAACAAAGCACTCCCAGATACTCTACCCCTTCTTTGAGATTCAAAATTTACACTATTGTATTTCAGTATTCTTAGTAATACTACCATAGAGAAATCCAACTTTTTAAATGTAGAATACTTATTTTCATAGGCCACATTAATATTTTTATAAACATTAGCATTTCACTATTAGACTAGTATTTCTATAAAATTTGGTGATCATTCCATAGTTACATTGTTATAAATTTGAAATATATGTAAAGGGTATTAATTGTTATGAATCAAATTGCTCTGATTTAAAATAAAACACTTTTTCTTTATAACTGTCATGGAAAAGAAATCATCTAATATTCTACATTTTTTTTTGTTTTAGAAAACAAATGATGGCTGGGATTTTTTGAAAATATTTAACTAGTATGCAAACATTTTGTTATATAATTTATCTAGCTTAGTAATAAAAGTTTTAATAATAATTAAGTTGAGAAATTTTACTTTATTAACATGCTAAGTTGCTTCAGTATCCTAAACTTAGTTCAGTTGTCCCATATATTAATGAAATCTATTGGTCAGTAATTAGTCTTTAGAAAATAATACATTGTAATCTATATTCACAAAATTTTCCCTAGGCTCTGAAGACTACCTTGAGGTCAACACTCCAACTCACCTAAGAGTGAAACACTCTGGAGAAATAAATGAGAGAAATGAAATTGAAGACTTAGAAGTTTCAAGAGGTGTCATGCCACTGGTAATGGTGATTCCTGCTGAAATTCCATGTGAGGTAAGTAAAGATGTCATGTTGCTTAAGTGGTCCTGTTGTTCTAATAGATACCATATTTCACTAGACTGTAAGCTGCAGTATACCTGGTGTTTTGGTCTATTTTGCTCATGGCTGTGTCCCCAGAACCTAAAACAATACCTGGCAATTACCTAGTCAAATATTGGAGAATATACAAAAGCTTAATTTTCTTCAAGTGTTACTTGACACTTTCCAAACAGATATATAATTGCTATGTACATCTATAAAGCTAGTTGAAAGAAAGCTTAATTTTTATTAAATAGATTAAGGGTTTTCTTTTCCTAAAGAAAAATATACCCTTGAATAGGATTTTAAGGTATTTATTTTTATGATTACCGATTTTTCAATTATGAACATAGTAAAGGCTGACATTATCAAGTAGAAATATCATGAGTTAGAAGAGCTTGTCTTTCAGAAACAATAGTATAAGGTTGGGAAAAGATTTCTAAGAAGGTCATAATATGAAAACATATCTCTGACATTTCTTCCTCCTAACTCTTCTTGTAATGAACTGGTAGAACTTGATCTGAATTTTTGGCTGTACAGTGTTTTGACAAAAAAAGATTCGGGGCTTCAGTGTCTATAGTGCCCTCGAGTAAAAAGAGCCAAAGATGTAGGAGAGCCCTGTGGGAGATGCATAAAAGGTCCTTCTGGCAGAAGCCTGTAGAGTTACATGACCTAACAGCAGGAGCTGGCTGATGGCTTTTGGGCCCCTCATCCTGTGGTAAGGGAAGCTGAACATTCTGTGGAGTTGTGTGAAGTTTAATTCCCTCATCTGCACTCAACATGAATGCCTGAACAGAATAATTGCTGTTTTTAAGCTATTTTGCTATCAGTTATAGAGGAATAAAAATGACTTAGATACTACTTTAGAGACCCGAGGAATCTGGACTCTACGGGTTTGAGAGAACTGATACAAATGATCAGGCAAAGAAAAGTTATAACACATTTAAAAGACTCAGGAACTTAAGGGATGGTGATGAAGCTAAACAATCAGAGATGGTAGCTCCTATGAAGTCAGAAATAATGGAAGAGCGAGAAAAGAACTATAATAAAAGAAATGTGAATTGCTCTCAAGTAGATGAAATCAAAGCAGGAAAAAAATAACTCTGAAACTAAAAATATCTCACCAAGAGTTATGCAATGTCTAAATAGCTGATTTTAAAAATATCTGCCACAGTAAAATTTGAACACTATAAAACCCTTCTATTATTGAAATCACAAAGAACTCAAGTTGAAAAATTAAGACTCTCTGCCCTTGAGGCAGAGATACCTTACACAGATGGCTACTTAAGATAGGGGTTCTTTCAATATTAGAATCAGAACCATGGGCCTGTTTTTCTTTCTTTTTTATTGATATGTATGTAATTCTTTAGGCCCACTAAAATTATTTCAGTATCAGATTTCTGTTGGGTACCATGCTTTTTTAAAATTCCTAAAAGTTGAACGGTCATACAATATTTTTTTAAAACCAGTCCTATACTCTAGAATTTCTAGAAGCTCATCCTTTGGGCCAAAAGTAGTTATCCTAGGTTAAATCTTGTGCTCTTGAGTAGATCTTAGTACGACCTAAAGCCACAGGACTGCTGCCAAATGCCATTTGTACCCAGCTGAGTGAAAACTATGCTTACTTTTGCCTGGGCAAAGCTCAGTCTATGCCAATAGTCTGAAAGCACAACTTTTGAACTTCAACTCATTTCTGAGAAGTCTGACAATTAGTGGGTGAACAGAGACCACTTAAGACAACTGACTTTTCTAGGAAGTGACAATTAAGTCTTTTCTGATTTTTTTCCCAAAAAAATCCCAAACTTTACAATTACTGTTTCTGCCAGTCTCCAGTTGTTATGTGAGGTAAACCTCTTTCACATCCAGCATCTTCAAAACGTTCTGATTTCCTTTTGTAGTTCTATATTTCTAGGATGCTGACTTGACCTCAAGTTCTCAATAGTGGCATAGTCTTCTCTGATGAGTAGGTCGTTAGACTGCTGCCCCTTCTGTGAATTGCTGTGACCTGCCTCCCAGAGCATTTCTCTCCATGTCCTCTTGTGTTCTGCAGAAGCAGTTTTGGTAGACTGGCAAGTGAGGCCATGAGTGACACTGCTGTTGCCTGTGACCCCAGGGGCTGGGGAGTATTGATGCCTCTCTTTACAACCTTCCCTGGCACTTTTCCTTTCCATAGTCTCTATTTCTTAGGCCTTGAAAATTTTATGCCATTTTAAAAACAGCAAAAAATATTTTTTCTCTTCAACATTTTCCCATGCTTTAATAAAGATATTCTTCCAGTCTTCTGTTTATGTAAGTTATGCCCTGTCTCTTTGGCAAATGTCTAGGTGAGTTTTATGTTTAAATTTTCTTCTTAAATTGGCCTTTTCTTTAATTTTCTGTAGAAATGGCACTGTTTGCTGTATTTTAGTATTTTTAACAATTTTTTTCTTTGTTTACTGGCCAGGATACTTGTTTTTCTAGCATATTCCTCTTGACTTTGTGTTGTAGGGTTAATAGGTGACGAGTGATATGTCAGTGAGTTCTAGTCTGCTAAATCTACTATTCAAAGGACACTTATCCCATTTTATCTTCCCAATGAAAAATCATTCATTCTTCCATTGGAATACCATCTGTACTAGAACTGGACCTTTTCTGTGATTTGGTAGCGTCTCTTGTCTATGATGTCCATGAATGATTTCATAAATGTCTTGGACAAATTACTTCAGAGTAGTGATTCTTAACTGAGGGCAGTTTTTGCCCTCCTCTACCAGGATACATGTGATATGCTTGCAGGGACTTTTGGTTCTCGCAACTGAGGGATTGTTACTAGCATCTAGTGGGTAGAAGCATAGGAACTATAAAACATTCTGTAATGCACAGGACATGTCCCGTGACAATGGCTTCTGTGATTCACAAATGACAACCCTGTTCTGCTAAACTAAAGTGAAATCCTGTCTCAGCATGTAGGAAGTCATCCACTCCTTCACAATAAATAAACCACTTTCAAAACCACCCAACAAGGACATCAAGAATTCAGTTTCTTTTACAGAGGCTTCTCTGCAATCTGCCTACTGTCCTGTGTTCACTTGCTGGAACCTCTTAATCTTTAATGGTGACTTAGGTCACTCTTTACAGATTTTACCCAAGGCTTTTGGAAAGGTCCTCCAAATGTTTTCTACGACAGGCACCCCTTCTTGGAAGTATATCGTTTTCTCTGTAAAATTTCACATCTCCTGTTGTTTTTGTGTGTTCAGCCATGTAGTCTAGGTTGGCACCAAACTCACAATCCTCCTAGTTGAGCCTCCCAAGTGCTGGGATTACAGGCATGCACTACCATACCTATTCAAGCCCTACCAAGTGGTTTCTTTTTGTTGTTTGTTTCTTCTGATGCGCTGGGGATTGACCTCAAAACCTTGTGCATGCTAGGCAAGCACTCTACCATAGAGCTACATTCTAGCTAAGAGTGAGCTTATTTTCTTTATCTTGCTTTGTCTACGTAGGCAGATCTTTAATATGTCATTTTCCCTTCTTTTTGGAAGAAATTGCCCATTGTAATCTCAGTTTTTCTTCTCCCCAAATCTTTTACTTCCTTTAATATAATAAACCCATGTTTCTTTGTTTTATTCTACATCTGCAACTATCCTAATGAAAATAATGAAATCTTTTTAAACCATTTCAGTTGTTGATTTCTTAAACAAATTTAACTTTTGAAGTCATAGTACAACCACCAAAGGCCTTTTGGGTGGCTTTATTGACATTAGATTTATATTAATCTTATTAAATTGTTTTTCTATCTGAACCCATGAATATGACATATTTACCAGCATAGGTTTTGATCTTATATGACTTGTTCACTGGCACATCTTTGTGACTAAAACCATAATGAGTCTCCAAACTCAGGGAACAGATTACACATTGTATAACTAACAAATGTAGACATACACCAAGACTCCATGCAAGAAAATATCTCTTAAAGACCATAAGAATCTCAGAAATCACCTTCTTACAAGTTCAGTTTTAAACTGAATTCAGTTTAAAACAATATACAGATGCTACCAGCACTGCCCACTTACTTCTGACACCAAATCACAAACCAGTTCTTGGTAACCAACATTAACTTAAAGCCTGATCTGTGATTTAATTGAAAAGTCCGGCAAATGCAGCAAAAAATGATTATGTCTATGTTGTAGAGTGTTGCCTCATTGGAAGTCAAGTTGTATGGTGGCTAAAAGACATTTTTCCTGAATCAAGTAGTTCTCAAAACTAAAAGCAGTCAAGAATACATGAAAAAAGTCATTGGTCACTTTACAAAAGCAATAGTAAGCTAATGTGGTCCATCAAAATTACCCTCCATCTGTACTTGTTGTTTAAGCCAAAGGCATCTGCTCTGACAGAATCTGAGACTTCCCTCTGTGCGTATTATGTTAGACCAAATTTCAGCCTTTTTTTTTAGGTCTGAAGGTCTGTGACCAATTTTAGCATTTGGAAGTGTTAATTATCATAATCCATTCACTCTCTGAATCTTCAGACCCAAATAAGGGGAGACACAGAGGATTTAAAAATACTGAAAGCAAAACAACAGCTTCATCACTGAGAAAATTAATTTTACACCCATTTGAATGTCTTCATACTTGTTCCTTGAATTAAATTTACCCATATAATTATGGATAGATCTTCTCTCATAGGGCAGGGTGCTTACTGCAGGGCTAGAGGAAGCTGTGAGCACTGAGGATAGTAAGGAATAGAGCTAAGCATGCTCAGTGTTAAATTGACATATTTTTGCAAACTTATTTCATTTCAATTTAAATGTATATGTATATAGAATATCTCTTATGTGCATAACTCTTACAAGACTCCACCAGGACAAGAGAAAATATAGCATCTTCAGGATATTTAAAACTCTAGCTGGGAAGCCAAGATACAGACAAGAAAGCTAAGAGTAGCAGTTATGACTTAGTAATGGTCGGATGTGGGGTGTGAATATAAACTTTTACAAGGAGAATTTTTGTGGCGCTAGTTGAAACCAGAATTGAACCTTGATAGAGAGCGTAAGTATGGGAGGCAGAGGAAGAAAAGAAACTGAATTGCATGCCAACAACATGTGCAAATTAGGTAGCTGATTCTGAAATGCAAGGCCCTTTGCTCAAATTATTTAGCATTTTAAGGCAGGAATAGCAAAACATTAAACCAAAGGCAGGGCCCTCTAAGCATGGGGCCCTGTGTAACCATACTGGTCATAGGCCCATGGAGCTAGCCCTGAGTATAAATGAAGATTTAAATGCCTCATTTGGGGTGGTCAGTATGCTTGTCTTTTGTTTAGAACTCTTCCCTAGAAATGGTTGAAAGGTGGGAATTAGATGCATCATAAGTAGCCTGTGTGGACACTCATGGCTAAGAATCAGTTAGCTGGGCAAATAAAACAATTGGAAAGTACACCTGTGCTTACCAACTTTGGAAAGAGCTAAGTCAACTAAACAAAGATACATATCATGAAAAGAATCAGAACTTTAAGATTCTTGAGGAATTGAGCAAATTGAAACAGGAAGTCATGATTTGGCTTGTAGAATTCAAGATGAAGTGACATAGACACCAGAACAAAAAGACTGTGTCAGAAGGAGGTCCTGGAAAGAGGAGGTTGCAGATATGGAAACATGAGAGCCACATTTCCACCTTCTACATTGTGTGTTGTGTTGGCGAACCCGTCAAGAGCAATAGTGGATGTGGCATATCTTTCTCTATGTTCATTTAATTGTTGGGAAATTAAATTTAACTTATCGATGCATATTGGTATGACCAGTGAAAATCCTGAAGGTAGTTGTCAGCTGAAATTTGTACATTAGCGTTACTATTTGTGAAAACTGGTACAAAAGCATTAACTGTAGTTTATTGTGTCTGAACTTATGCTTAGGAGTAGCATTTAAATAAAAGAATTTGAAGTTAATGACTTGACAAACATATTTTATAAGACATATAAATGAGTTCCTGTTTATTAGTGTGAGGCTGAACTCTAGCATGACTTGGAAAAAGTTTTAAAGATTACCTAAATAATTGTAAAAAAAATTTCATTTGTCAAAAATTGATAGCATGAGTAAAGATAGTATTGAAGCTAATAGTTCTGAGTAATCCTCAGAATGTAATCCTAAGCACTACTTGCTCTATCCAAAGGGAAAACTAAAAACTATCTCCATTTTGCTTTGGGCATGTGTGCACAGTGTGCATATATATTGTATGCATATGTGTGTGTGTATGTCTGTGTGTGCATGTGTTATGTTTCAGTTAGGATTAAAGGAACATATTTATTTAAAAAGTGCTTACCATAATTCTTATTAAATAGAAACCAATAAGTGCTTATTCTTACTTTTTTTCTTCTCATTTGTGCTTTTTTGCTAAAACAAGGTCTTCAATAATCATTTTACCTATTACATAATCGAAATTTTTTCAATTAATTATATAGACTTTAATTTTATACCTTAGTAAGCTCAAAAATTTATAGACACTTATATGACAAATACCCAGAAACCGTCTATTAAATAAACATAAAACTATTTGACATTTAAAATTTCTATATATCTGAATTTAAGGTCTTATAGTTAAATTCATTAGTCTTCTCATACATATAGTAGGAAAACCAATTCTGAAAGGAGAAAGCAAAGGATTTGGGAAAAGAAATTGGTCAACAATTTAATGATGGTTACCTCTGGTCTTGATGCTGCAAACCTGGATGCCACTTCTCAGGAAAAGCAAGATGAAGGAAACAGTTATTCACATTGCTTTTTCAGTTGCAAACATGTATTGGGGGGAAAGGAGCATTTGATAGGCAACAAAAGTGCTTACCATAATTCTTATTAAATAGAAACTCATAAGTGCTTATTCTTACTTTTTTTACTTCTCATTTGTGCTTTTTTGCTAAAACAAGGGTCTTCAATAATCATTTTACCTGATGAACGTACAGTAGATCGAATTTTTTCACTTAATTAAATATGAGACTTTTAGATTTATAACTTTAGTAAGCTCAAAAACCTTTATAGACACTTATGACAAAATACCCAGAAACCGTCTATTAAATAAACATAAAACTATTTGACATTTAAAATTTCTCATTATATCTGAATTTTAAGAGGTCTTATAGTTAAATTCATTAGTCTTCTCATACATATATAGGAAAACCAAAGTTCTAGAAAGGAGAAAGCAAAGGATTTGGGAAAAGAAATTGGTCAACAATTTAATGATGGTTAACCTGCTGTCTGTGATGCTGCAAACTGGGAATAGCCAGCTGTGTGCAGGAAAAGGCAAGATGGAAAGGAAACAGTTATTCACATTGCTTTTCAGTTGCAAACATGGTATTGGGGGGGAAAGGAGCATTTGATAGGCAACAAATTAACAAATTTTAAATGTAGTGAGAATCAATTTCCATATTTCATTTCTGTAGTGCTTGAAAATACAAACAGAATGAAGATTTTTCAATGACAGTGTATCAACTTGATCTCTAATAAATGTAATAGTTCTATAGTTAAGGTAAAGTTTTTCAAATGCTTAATTCGTTGCATTTCACCTTACATTATAGTGAGATATTCATTCTTTTGAGAAGATGAAGTCATTGGTGAAGCTTTGGAGGTTGAATTTATATCAACTAATAAGCACATTAGAACACGGCCAGCACTTTGGAATAAGAAAGTCTGGAGTATGAAAGCTTTATAAGAATTTTTATTCTTACTAAGTATAAAACATCATTCTGAGTTTTTTCATTAAATTTATGATAAATGGTTTCACTTCCTACAGAAACTAATATTGTTCTGCAGGTGTTTCCTGTGTTAATTTTCACACATTCAAGGTTGTTATTATTAATCCGGATTTGCAAAGTAAAAATGTGTAAATGATGAGAAACTACTTTGTATATCATGTAGTGAAATGACAGCAAGCAACATGCATTTTAAATACGTCATAAAGCACTTTAATATACTTCAGCTGTTAAGTATGGAACTAAAATTACTTCTGTATTGTAGCATTAGGATTAGTAGATATTTGGATTTTAATTAAGGACATGTTTCCTTTCCCTTTTTCCTCAGGCTTCTGAATATATTTTAGTTGTTTTCGAAAACATAATTCTTTTCACCATTTTCTAATCATGGTACCATTTCTATATATAATCTGTATCATTTCTTATCTCATTTATGAATCTAATCATTTGATTATCCAAGTTTGTTTGCAGTGTGATAAATTGTGTTAGATACTAAATTCAGATGGAATAATAATTGTACTAAAATCGAAATGCAATATGTCAATTCTGAAACTGATTTCAATATATACTGTAAAACTACTTATTTTCTATTTTATATCTTTTTGTAATAAATAATATAATTACTTCATAAAGCTTCATAAATGTGAACTTGGTAAAGTATTTTGATTTGGACATGTAGTAAAATATTTAAAATTGGAGAGTGTGTCAAACAAGTCCTGAGCTCCTGTTTGTTTCTTTTTTTTCTTTTCAAATGTTACTGTATATAGTGTGTTGAATAGAGCATTCAGAGACCTTTGTTTGTGTTATGCAAAGCATGTTTTCCCTTTACAGCTAGTTGGAGTTGGCTTTAAGAAGGAAAGACTATTCCAAGACTTTATATACATTTCAAACACTGCTTTTGTCATGGGCTGGAGTGACATGGGAAAAAGCTCTCTTTATCTTTTCCTCTTCTTTCTTTCTTGCTGCAGAGTCCTCTATTTTCTTACATCACATTTTAAATGATTTAATGAATAATATTTCTACTAATTACAGAGAATATAACTAAAACTAATCAGAATAAACACTACAGAAATCAATGTTGCAAATTAAGAAGCACTTAAATAATATTTCCAAGTAACAGGTCAAGATATAAAATAAATTATTCAAATTAGTTAAATATTTTGCTTAGTGTTCTTAATGACAAAGAGTAGTATAAATAATAAAAGCCAAAATTCCTGAAACCACAGAACTACCAGAAGAAACAGGTGAAACACTTCAAGACACTGGGATTAGAAAGACTTCTTGCATGAGACCCCAAAGCTCAGGTAACAAACAAAAATAGGAAAGTGAGATTATATTAAGCTAAAAAGCTTTTACATTGCAAAGAAAACAACAGCTTTTACATTGCAAAGACATCCTACAAAACAAGAGAAAGTATTTGCAAACTATTTACCTGATAAGGGATTAATATCCAGAATATAAGGATCTCCAACAACAAACAAATAATCCTATTAAAAATGAAAAAAATAGTCTGATTGATAGACATTTCTGAGAATATGTGACCAAGTATATGAAAAATGCTCAACATTAGAAGTCATCAGTGGAATGCAATCAAAACCACAAGGAGCTATAATCTCATCCCAGTTAGAATGGCTATTATCAAGAAGACAAATATGACAAATTCTGGGTTTTCTTTTTTACAGTGCCAGGGTTTGAACTCAGGGCCTCACTCTTGCTACATGGGTGCTCTACCACTTGTGCCACTTCATTGTCCCTCAAAAATGACTAATTCTGGTGAAGATATAGAGAAAAGGGAAGTCTTCTACACTGTTGGTGGGAATGTAAATTAGTATAGCATTATGGAAAACAGATTAAAATTTCCTTAAAAAACTGAAAGTAGAATTACTATATCAGCCAGCAATCCCACTACTGGGTAAATATCTAAAGGGAGTGAAATCATTATATGAAAGAGATACCTGGACCACCATTTGTGTTTCATTCATAATAGCCAAGATAGGGAATCAATATAGGTGCCCATCAAAAGATGAATGCATAAAGAAAATTTGCCATATGTGACATTCATTCATTCATATACAAGATGGTTACATAAGCCTCTGTGGGAATATGAATAAGAAATAGCCATAAAATATTGCTTTCTCTGTCTTCTGACACTAGTTTTGGAATTATTTTGAGTCCTAGTAAGAACTACATTTTACATCATGATCCAATCATGCACAACTACATAATGAAAACAAAGGTTTTCAAAGAAGCACTAAAAGTTTCAGTCTTATCTTGCAAAGAACTTAGAAGTGGCAACTCCTATTCTTATAAGCAAAAACTCAATAAAACAAAAATTGATCACTTTTCTTGAATCCATGGGAGATGTAAAGTTGTGTAATATCTCCCCTCAACCTATCATAAGAGCCACAGCCAACATCCCTATAGAAAAAGACAGGTTAATAAGAGAAAAGCATAACAAATATATTTAATCAAAGTTTTACAGGACTTGGAAACCTTCAAAAAGAAAGCCCACAGGTTCAGAGAAAATTACCTATTTTTATGCTTTTGATTCAATGAAGAGTGGACAGAATATAAAATTGTGATTGTGTTACATGCCAGTTTGAAGTGATGGGAGCTGGTGTCGAGGGTCCTTGCCTTCACAGGCCAGGGAACAGGCAGCTGATTAACTTAAAAACCAAAGCCGGTATATGTAGTATTTATTAGACAGAAAGGAAAGGCTACATCTAGAGCATGCAGCAGAGCCTGGAAACCACTATCTCCCTGTTCAGGTGAAGGCTGGGGTTTTTAAGGACTCTTTAACTCTGGGTTAGGTGGGTTCTTTTCATTGGCCATGAATTTGCAGGCTTTCCAGGGGAAACAATCTTGAGCATTTTGTTCATCAGCCCTGTGCAGATATATCAGACCTGTATCTCTCTTTAGGATGCAGAAATGCAGATTTACAACTCCTTTTCAGGATGCAGGAATGCAGATTTCAGCATGCTGGAATGATAGTGCTCTCCAGTGGGATGGGATACTCACTCATCTGCTTTAAGTCTCAGACCCAACAACTGGACAAAAGATATGATCTAATGATAATAAACTGAGGAAAAAATCCAATACCTATGGTTCTGATTCTTGGTCTCTCTGGGTAGCATTCCTTCCTCTCAGGTGTGAGTAAGAACCCCCTGGAATGAGAATCTCCAATAGGAAAGGAAGCAGGTGACCTCTTTTGTTTATGATTTTCTTTCACAAAGTGCTTGACCCACTCTGGAGAGGAGTTCTGATTTCTTTGAGTTGCTTAGGAAAGGAAAAGTATGAGAGTCAGGAGGTTGGGAAAAGGTCAGAAAGACCTTGGTTCTGAGACTTTTCCAATCTTCTTCAGTTCAAAGTAGTCAGCACGCTAAGGCATTATAATTTGGGGAGTTGTGTTCTGAACACCAACAAGGGCAAAGCAGGATGCAAAAATCTGGAGAGGGAGAAAGGTGAGTAAAAGAGTACTATCCGTTTTCTGCTTACCTGGCGTAGAAGTCCTGAATTGATAGGAGCACTTAAGTGTTAATTTTGATTAATTGCTGGAAGCTACATGTGGATTAAATTGAGAGTAGCAAATGAGTCTACATGCACTTTTGTGGGATTTACCTCCAGGAACTCCACAGGGTTTACACCCTGAAGATGTAAGAAAGCAACGCCAGAGCCTCAGGTTGGGACAGAGAAGGGACAGCATGTTCTATATAACAAAAGCCTGCTCTCCAGGGGAAGGTACTGTACAAGAGGTTTATCCCAAATGGAGAAGGGAGTCAATCCACTGTAGCCTCTATAGCCTTCTTGTCCTACTTAAGCAGATTAAGAAGTGCTATGCCACAGCAAAAACAAAACAAAACAAAACCAACTTGTAATATCACAGCAAAGACATGCTAAATACTGAGATATAAACACAAGTCTATAAATGCCTCCCATCTCTGTGGCTTCTACCTACCTTGTGGTTACCTGGTATATGTTCCAGTATAATGACAGTGGACTGCAGTTAAAAGAACTGCAGGACTCAGGAGTGCTGACAAAATACAAACTCAATAGTAGAGACTAAAACACAGTAGAAAGATTTGAAGCCTCTGGAACCTACAGTGACAACAAACTTCCAGCCACATTACTATAAATTTGCTCACTATAAGAATATTTATTATAATTCTTATTACATGATATACATCTAGTTTCAACCCAAAATTACAGGAAATGCCAAAAGGCAAAATAAAGCACAATTTAAAGAGACAAAGCAAGCATCAGTCAAAACAAATACAACACAGATATTTAAATTATCTGACAGGAAATTTTGAATAGTGATTAAGATATTAAGGGCTAACAGCAATGCAAGAACATATGTTATCCATATGTAACATATGGATAACATAATCAGAGAGAAATTATAAGAAAGAACCAGAACAGAATGCTAGAAGTTAAAACCACTGAATTGGAAATGAGAAGTAACTTTGATGGACTCATTAGTAGACTGGACATGGGTGAGAAAGCAATCATGGAACTTAAAGATAGAACAATGGAAATTTCCCAGATCTAAGTGCAAAAAGAAAGAAGGAGAGAATATCCATGAAATGTAGGAAAGTTTCAAAAGGCATAGCAACATGTAATTGGAATAAAAGAAGAAGAATGAAAAAATGAAGCTTAAGAAATAACAAAGTACACAACAGACACAAAACCACAAATTCAAGAAGCTCATATAAAACAAAGCAAGATAAATATAAAAAAATTGATTCCTAGATATATCACATTCAAACTGTAGAAAACTAAAATCAAAGAGAAAATCTCATAAAACAGAGAAGCCAAATAATACCTTATCTAGAAAGGAAAGGAAAAATAGATGGTCTGAATTGGCTTATATCTTAAAGAAATTAAATCATTAATTTTGACCTTCCATAAAAAATAGCACTGCTGCCACCTGTCATAAATTGGCAACCATGCTAAGAA